TTTTCCTAAGTCTCAGCTACAGCCCGAGTGTCATTAGGAAGGGCAGCTTTTGGGGTCTCTGAGGACTAAAAATAGAAACATGGGCATTATGAGAGAAAACCCCATGCAGCCAGCAGAAGACATCCACCTGCTGGCAGACTACCCCATCCATTCAGACTTGCAGCTCACCAGCAAGTCCTTCCATCTCTCTGTGCCTGTTTCTCTGGAGGGGATGTGTGATGAGAGGAACTCTGTGTTACTTTTGCGAGGGGCTTGGTGCTTTCACACCAGGCATAGCAGAGGTGGCAGCCAGAACAGCCATAGTCCCTCGAGAACAGTTTTGTCTGCTGGGTTTAAGACTAGATTTGGGTGGAAGAACTGAGCCTAGGGAACTGGAAGTAAAAACAAAAACAATGCAGAGGCCACTGGGAAAACTGGCAGGACCTGCCGCAGGGAGCTGGCACCGAACCTGCAGCAATGCACTGCTAACTATTCCTGATTCTTGGTCTGGTTCAACAGGGAGCTTACAGTGTAACGGCTCACAGTACACCCGGATGTTTGTTTTGAGGGCTTCTCTCCCCTTGAAGAGGCTGTAAACTGAGCAGGTTTTGTGTGGGGCAGGATGTTCCTGGTTGTAACCAGACAGGACACTGGGTTCCCTCAGAGGGGTGGAGTGGGAGGTGGCCCCATCTCCCAGGGTCACATTGCCACACAGAGGGTGAGGCAACGCTGGGGCAAGCAAGGATCTCCGGGGGTCTGTTCTTCCTGCAACTGCTTGCAGCTGCCCTTTGTGGGTCCTGACTGTTCCTGTGCTGCTCCTGCTTTGCAGGCCTCCTACCTCACATGGGGCGTCTTGCAGGAGCGTGTGATGACGAGAACTTATGGTGCCACTGAAACAGAAGCCGGTGAGAAGTTCAAGGACTCCCAGTTCCTTGTGTTCATGAACCGCATCCTGGCCTTTACGGTGGCTGGTCTGTACTGTGCCCTGACCAAGCAGCCGCGCCATGGGGCTCCCATGTACAAATACTCCTTTGCCTCCCTCTCCAACATCCTCAGCAGCTGGTGTCAGTATGAGGCACTCAAATACATCAGTTTCCCCACCCAAGTGCTGGCCAAGGCCTCCAAAGTGATCCCAGTGATGATGATGGGCAAACTGGTGTCACGCAAGAGTTATGAGTACTGGGAGTACCTGACTGCTGCACTCATCTCTGTGGGAGTCAGCATGTTCCTGCTCTCCAGTGCTCCCAACAGACACGTGTCCACTGTTACCACTTTCTCAGGCATAATCCTCCTGGCTGGCTACATTATCTTTGACAGCTTCACCTCCAACTGGCAGGATGCCCTCTTTGCCTACAAGATGTCTCCTGTGCAGATGATGTTTGGTGTGAACGTCTTCTCCTGCCTCTTCACGGTGGGCTCGCTCTTGGAGCAGGGTGCCTTGCTGGAGTCGGTTCGCTTCATGTCCCGGCACTCGGAGTTCACGGCCCATGCCGTGCTGCTCTCTGTGTGCTCTGCCTGCGGCCAGCTCTTCATCTTCTACACCATCAACCAGTTTGGGGCTGCTGTCTTCACCATCATCATGACACTACGCCAGGCCTTTGCCATCCTCCTCTCCTGCCTCATCTACGGGCACACTGTCACTGTTGTGGGTGGGCTGGGTGTAGCTGTTGTCTTCATGGCCCTCTTCCTCCGTGTCTATGCCCGCAGCCGCATGAAGAAGCGCAGTAAGAAGCTCCCACCAGGCGAAACCCCTGTGCAAAAGGTCTAAGGAGCTGGCGTCATGGTGTTTAAGCCGTGCCTGCTGTCCTGCCTCTGCCTTGGGATACTTGCTTGATTTCTGAGAACCCACTGAGGAGCAGGGTGGGGTACGGATAGGCTGGACCAGTGACTTACATTTCCACTTGCTTTTCCTGGGGAAGGGGCTGAAACAAGCCCAGGGAATGCTGTGGGCTGCCACAGCTCCAAACCTTTCCGTTTGCCTTAATAGGTCAAAGACTTTCAGGCAAGGCATGGGCCTGGGGGCTCACATCCTGGGGGAGAGCCAGCATGAGGCTGCTGGTACTCTTGCTCCACCTCTGTCTTGTGGCTTCTCCAAAGTCACTGATGAATAAGGGAGCTCTTTTCCCTGGCACCATCTTGCCTCTGGCTAACACTCCTCCATTTCTGTCACTGCTACAGAGTTCAATTGGAGGAAAGGGCAAGCAGAACACTAGCTTTCTTTTTTGAACAACTCCATGTGAGACAAATCCCAGCCTGAGCCTGTCCCAAAGCAGGTGAGGTGCTCCAGGTAGGACAAGCATAGTTAAGGGAAGGACTCCCAGCCTGTCCTACCCCAGGCCTGGGCTCTGCTCTGAGAGCACTCTGCAGTGCAGGCCGGTACCTCCGTGGTTGGTTTTCTCAGTTCCTTACCCCTGCTTTGAGCCACTTTTCTCCGCACCCTTTAGCCCAGGCTGGCCAGTACGGTTCTCCAGGCTTGCTGAGTTGTTCTAGTTTGCTTTTTGGTTACATCCGCTGCTGTCACAGGCCAAAGGCTGCGCTGCCCAGAAGCCCCAGCATCACCTTGGGGTGCCTTAGTGCCACAGGTTCTGGGCTTTGCAGTTGCCATTCAGAGAAGCACAAACAGCCCCTCTTCTTCCTGCCAACTGGAGGCACCAGGCCCAGCTTTCTTGGGGCTGGCCAGAGCCCCACTGTGCCTGGGGGGGCTGAGCAGTGGGGCAGAACTTGCTTGTGGTGCCTTGCTCCTGCTCCACAGGCAGCAGGGGATGAGCAAGTTGGGCACCTGCTTCCCCAGGCAGCAAGGGAGGGAGCAATGGAAGCTGCTCTTCCCCAGGAGCCTGGGTTTCACTGGTTAACCCTTTTCTCCTCAACACAACCTGACTGAAAAGCCAGCAGGTTTTGGTACTTTTGAAAGGCAACTTTTTTCTCTTTTTATTTTATTAAATTAAAAATATGCTGCATATAGTGCCCTGGGGGTACATGTTCTTTTTATATTTTTTTTCTAGCTACCTCAAAGGAGGGGAGAGACTTCCCAGCCCTTCATGTGTCCCTCCTCAATAGTCTCCTCAGGACAGCAGATCTGTCTTTTCTTTCCAAACACAGGTGCCTCTACCCAGGCAGGTTGGACCTAAACCTACAAAGCCTGACATGAGATCTTTGCACACATGACTGGGGAGCATATCCAAGTTTGGACCACTGCTTATGCCAGTGGGGAGGTGGAGGAGCTTTTAGCCTGGTTCAGCTCCAGGATTTCCTTCATGGTGCAGCTTGGGCAGCCCCAGAGGGTGTAGCTACAGCCTGTGTACCTACAGAGGGGTGGTGCAGAGGCCTGCGTCACCAGTGCTAGGGCAAGGCCTGGAGGAACCTATCATTTACAAGGTGCATCTGCACCAGGACAAGCTCCACAGGCTCCCCACCAGAGCCAGTGAAGGCCTCTGCTGGTGTTTGTGGAGACCTGGTGGAAAACCTTTGCTGTAGGCCTATGCAATCCAGTCACAGTGAGGTCTTGGGTCAGAAACAGGCCCTGGCCTAACAACTGGAGAAAGGGGAGACCTAGGTGAAGGCTACAAGAGGAGGAGACTAGGGCCAGGAGGTGCTTACCACAGTGCTGTGCCAGCAGGGGTACCAGAGGTTTCACCTGTACTCCTTTCCTACCTCTAAGCTCTTGAAAGTGTGTGTGCAGCCTCATAGCCCTTCATCCTGCCTCTGCAAATGCCACCCCAAACATCTGCCCCCACTACCTGCTGACAGACTGAAAATGGAATTTTTACTTCAGTCAAAAGAAGAGGGGAGAAAAAAAATAAAAACGTTGTGTGCCAGGTTGGAATGGGATCTCTCTAATGTAAGTGCAGAGTTGAAAACAGTACGAAACAAAACCCCAAAAGAGAGTTAAAAATACTGGACTTCCATAGAATGGTTGGGGTTGGAAGGCACCTTAAAGCTCATCCTGTTCCCTGCCACAAGCAGGGACATCTGCTAGACCAGGTTGATCAGAGCCCTGTCCAGCCTGGCCTTGAACACTGCCAGGGATGGGGCATGATTTTACTGATTTGATATTTGGCAAAACCTTCCTCTCCAGGCAGAAACCTCTTTTAAACACTTTTACCCCCTCCTCTCCTGAGGGCGATAAACCCATGCTGGAGGCATTTGCCAGCTCAACTCCAGCACTGCCCTAGCACCCTGACAGCTGCCCATACAGCCAGCACAGCACCTTGATGTGCAGCGAGAGACTCCAGCAGGCTCTGCTGCCTCCTTCCCTCCCTGCTGAAGATGGACACTGGCTAAAGCCCACTCCATTTTGTGCCTGTGGTGGCTGGCAGGCAGACAGAGAACTGGATTGGTGTCACTCTTCCCTGACAAACCCCAGGCACTGTGGCTGAGGGTGACAAAACCCCACTCGTGGGAGTTCAGTGCAAGCAGTAGATTAATCAGATGCTCCAGGCTTCTCAGGGGATGCAGGCAAAAGACCCCAGATACTGGTGGCCAGATACTGCCAACCTCCCCCCCGCCACAGGCTGCAGAAGCCCAGAAAGAGCAGGCTAGAGGTGGGAGGAAAGGAGGAGTCCAGAGAATGAAGCCTTTTGGCCTAAGAACTGAAGAGACACAGCTGGAGTACAGTGCTGAGCTGTCACTTCCCCCCTGCCCTGCACCACAGCAGAGCAAGCAGATGGCTCCTGCCACAGCTCCTGCCCCAGGGATCACACCAGCCAGCAGCAATCCAGGCTCAGGCACTGGCAGAAGCTCCATGTGCAGTTTGGAACATGTTTGTTCCCAGGCTGTGGGTATGCAACAGTCCAGCTGGAGAGCTGCCCACTGGAGATGTCCCTGCCTCCACAGCAGGCCTTGCGTTTCTCCTACCCCCTTCTTGGTGCCTGGGCGGGCATAGGATAGGGTAGAGATCACCTAAAGCAGTATGAAAACCAGTCACAGGGTAAGGGGAGAGACCAATAGCCCATTACCCTCAGGCACAGGCTGAGACCCTTTCCTCTGTAAGGTAAGCATGAAATACAAGGGACCCTGGTAGGTAAATCACATTCTTCAATACTTTAATTTCAGAAGAACATAAAAGCCCCAGGAAAACAAACAAAACATAACTGAAATACAATATCCTACCCTGGGGTTCAGGGAAGCAGCAGCTCAGAGGAAGGGTTCTCCCACCCCAGTAGAACAAAGTTTGATGCCTACTGGGAACATGGAAGACCCCATGGTGGGGACAGAGGAGAAGTCTGATGCCTCCTCACCTCCACTCCCCATCAGCTGATGGGAGCTGTTCCTACACAAGCAGAAAGACACAGAACAGACATGCCTCAGGCTGTCTGAATCACTCACTACTGAGAAACAGGGAATGATGACCTCCTGCACCCTGCCAAAAACAACCCCAGACAAGCAAACCCAAAACAGACACCAGCAAGGAGTCAGTGGCAGCTGGTAGCAGCAGATGCCCCCCCTAAGCAGACATGATAAGGGGCAGAGGCCTGGCAGGTGAGGGAAGAGGCTTCCTCCTGCTTTAGTCTACCTCTTCCATGCGGGATGTATCTTCATCTCCCTCCAGAGGGGGAATTTCATCAGGGGCAGCTGCACTGGGTACCTCTGCAATCACCTCATCTTCATCAATGCCTGGGAGAAGGGAGAAAAGGGAAGGATGAGACCTCCAAGTGACACCTGATCGCAAAGGCATTTTCTGCTCCCAGTCTGAGGGACAGGACTATTAGCATCCAGTAGTTAATGCCAAGCCACATCTCCTGATTTACATTTTTAGTTAAATAGCAAATTTGGAGGAAAAACTTGGGTACAAGCACAAGCTGTTTTATCAAAAGGGTCGTATCTCCCACAACAGATTTCTGGCATCCACTCAAGTAGCAAAAAGTCTTGACTTGTGATCTGAGCAGCTTGGCAGTGGCTCCTTGCCCTGGGGAGGACAGGACAGTCCACTTGGAGCCCTGAGACCCACCCAAAGTACCTTAATTCCACGTTTCCACTTGCCCCTAGCCACCTTCTGTAGGGAGCCAGTTCTGCACAGCACACCAGCACCATGGTTACTGGCCTCCCCTGCCCCAAGACAGTACACGCTAGCCTGACCAGCTTAGTTGCTTTCAAGACCTACTCCAGCCCCGAGAAGCTGCATGGACACCTACCAAGCCCCAGTTTGATCATTCTGTAGATGCGGTTGGAGTGGGTTTGTGGATCCTCCAGGGAGAAGCCAGAGGAAAGCAGAGCAGTCTCAAAGAGTAGCACCACCAGATCTTTGACAGCTTTGTCATTCTTGTCAGCACCAGCCTTCTGGCGGAGGGTTTCCACAATTGGGTGGTCAGGGTTGATCTCCAGGTGCTTCTTGGCCATCATATAGCCCATGGTAGAGTTGTCTCGCAGTGCCTGAGCCTTCATGATGCGCTCCATGTTGGCTGTCCAACCATAGGCGCTGGTGACGATGCAGCAGGGAGATGAGACCAGCCGGTTTGAGACAGTTACCTGCCAATGTAGCCAAGGGTTAGCTGAGCAAGGTCCATACATCCTGGACTGGGCCCAGCCACAAGACACAGGATACCACAGAGGTATTTGCCCCAGGGTCACCTGAGGACACTCCAAAGCAAGTACAGATCCTTCAAGCAGCTCCAGGACTTAAACAGGGGAAGTTTAGATTGGATATAAGGAGGAAGTTCTTTAAGGGTGGTGAGGCACTGGAATGGGTTGCCCAGGGAAGCTGTGAATGCTCCATCCCTGGTGGTGTTCAACGCCAGGTTGGACAGAGCCTTGGGGTGACATGGTTTAGTGTGAGGTGTCCCTGCCCATGGCAGGGGGTTGGAACTACATGATCTTAAGGTCCTTTCCAACCCTAACTATTCTATGATTCTATGACTGCTGCAGAGATTGGTTTGGACAGCTCAGCCAGCACCTTCAGCACCCGCTGATATTTCTGACACTTACCTTCTCCCATCAATGCACGTTTTTGGGTCAGTGCCCCTCACCTGCAGCCTGGCTGCTTAGAGCAAGATGGTGCATGCTGGGATCTCCAGTCTCCTTTAGCGGCTCCTCTGCAGGAGATGAGAGGCATGTGTTGAGCTGGGGCCCTTGCCTGTATCACAGAGGAGAGCCAGCCCTGCTCCCTCCAGCCCAGAGCTGAGCACCCTGCCCATCTCACCTTCTCCACCTTCTTGTCTAGGATCTCCTTCATGAGTTTGCAGAGGGTCTCGAACTTGGCCTTGCTCTCCTCCATCTTCTTTTTCTCCTCCTCATCCTCAGGCAGCTCCAGCCCCTCTTTGGTGACTGATACCACAGTCTTGCCATCAAACTCCTTGAGCTGCTGCACGCAGTACTCATCAATGGGCTCCGTCATGTACACCACTTCAAAGCTACGCTTCCGCACGCATTCCACAAAGGCTGAGTTGGCAACTTGCTCCTTACTCTCCCCTGTGTTTGTGAGGTGTAGAAATGAGATGTCACCAAGACATGAGCTGGTTTCAGCAGGACAAACAGCACCAGTCACTCAGAACCCCTAGCATGAAACTGGATGCAGCCAGGGCTCTAAGCCTGGTGGTCTTCCACAAGCGCGCAGCAACAGGCTGCGATTCAGCCAGGAAGGTCTGCTGAGGGCATCAGCACCTACCTGGAAAAGCCTGCTCTAAGTCACAGGCTGGCTGGCAGGTAACCTGCCTCCACCTCACTAGGACAAGCTCTGGCTCACCTGTGATGTAGTAGATACTCTTCTGGTTGTCCTTCATACGGGACACGTACTCTGAAAGCGAAGTCATCTCATCACCTGACTGGGATGTGTGGTAACGCAGCAGCTCTGAAAGGCGCTTTCGGTTGGTTGAGTCCTCATGGATGCCCAGCTGGGAGCAGAGGAGATGCATGAAGCCTCCAGCATGGGAAGTGCATGCACTTGGCCACCTGAGGCACAGCCACCTCTTCCCACCCCCAGTCATTTGAGTGTTGGGCTTAGGGCAGCCAGAGCCACCAGATGCCCACAAAGTCTCTGGGGCCCACTATCCCAACACCCATGCAGAGAAGACATAGCATGGGGACAAGGCTGCTCTTCAAGGCAGACAGGTCATGGGCCACCCCCTCCTGCAGGTGCAGGGTGCCAACTCACCTTCAGATTCTTGGAAAAAGCCTCATAAAATTTCTTGTAGTTCTCCTTGTCCTCTGCCAGCTCGGAGAAGAGCTCCAAACACTTTTTCACAATGTTTTTGCGGATCACCTTGAGGATCTTGCTCTGCTGGAGCATCTCACGGGAGATGTTCAGAGGCAGGTCCTCAGAGTCCACAACACCCCGGATAAAGTCTGAGTAGGGGAAATGAAAACAGGCATCAGGTTAAGAGCTCTGAGCTTCATCACAGGAGGAAAAGCATTAAGACACTGACTGCTGTGTGCCCGTGCCAGCCGTGCCACTCTGTACTGGGAACAGTACCACAGGCTGTGGTAGCCCTAGCTCCATAATGGGAGACAGAGGTAAGGGGCTCTTACTTAGGTACTCAGGGATGAGCTCATCACAGCTGTCCATGATGAAGACACGCCTCACGTACAGCTTAATGTTATTCTTCTTTTTCTTGTTCTCAAAGAGGTCAAAAGGGGCACGGCGTGGGATGAAAAGCAGGGCCCTGAACTCCAGCTGCCCTTCCACAGAGAAGTGCTGCACAGACAGGAAGGAAAAAAAGCTGCCAGTTTGCTTCTCTTGTGCCCCAGGGCCCACTGTGGCCAGGCTGAACTACTGCTCATCAGCACTTGGGCTGGCAGGCCTGGCACATCCAAGCAGCTCGCATTTGTTCTCCTCAGCCTCACTTCTTCCTACATGCCAAGGATCTCTGCCATCCAGCAGTCCTGCACAGAGAAGTTATGTCTCTCTGGGGCCAAACATGCTCCCATCCCAATTCTATGCTAGCACTACCAACCCCTCCACCTGAATCGGAGTTGCAGTGCAGGCTGAGGCACCAAGTGGCCTGGAGCCCTCAGTCAAACTGAGGCCCAACCATGTGGTAGCTCTGCATATGGGCTGGAAAGGGGCCCTCTGCCTCACCCTGTAAGCCAGGGTGGTCCGGCACCCACCTTGACAGCCAGATGGTCCTCCCAGTCATTGGTAAGGCTCTTATAGAACTCGCCATACTCCTCCTGGGTGATGTCATCAGGGTTGCGTGTCCAAATAGGCTTGGTCTTGTTCAGCTCCTCCTGGTCAATATATTTTTCTTTGATTTTCTTGGTAGTCTTCTTCTTGCCTTTACCTCCTTCCTCTTCCTCCTCATCAGAGCCCACATCCTCAATTTTGGGTTTCTCCTCATCTTTGGATGCTGACTCTTCCTTCTCATCTTTCTCCTCCTCTGCCTCATCATCACTGATCTCTTTCTCACGCTCCTTCTCAGTCTGGAGAAAGGGACAAGCAAGAGTCAGGTTTATCCCCTGGCAACTGTTACCAGGAAACCTTTTGCTCCAGGTGAGAGAAGTGAGTATCCTCCAAGGCCCAACAAATGCAACATCTAAAAGCAGGGCTTCTCCTAAAGCCAGCCCTCAGAGTCCCTCCACAGCACATGCAACCAAAAGCTGTGTCTGAGAAGATGAGACAAGGGGCACAAAACCACCAAGCCTCCTCAGCTGGTTTAGATGACCTCCAGCTGCACAGATCAAAGGCCCATAGTGTGTCTGGCTACCCACCACCTTCACCTTCCAGTAAGCCCCATCCTCAAATCATCTCTGGCCACAGAAGCTGGAAGCACCACTGCTCAATACCCAGTAGCCTGAAGCTATGGAAGGGAACAGAAGTTACTCTCCCCTTTTCTGGGCTGTTGCTCGCAAAACCACCCACCCCTGCTTCCAAGCTTCCCAATGGGTCCCCACAGTCCTTCCCTTACGTACATAGAGTGTGATGGGGTAGCCAATGAACTGAGAGTGCTTCTTCACCACCTCTTTGACACGCCGCTCCTCCAAGTACTCTGTCTGGTCCTCCTTCAAATACAGGATCACTTTGGTGCCCCGACCAATGGGCTCACCTACAGTGCATTGAGAGAAACAGTGTTTCAGGGCATAGCGTTAAAGGGCTGAGTACAAGCAGCACCAGCTTCTTGATTCTAAACACTACTTGACACCTAACAAGTGTGACTGGCATTGCAGCATAGCTCTAGAAAGCACCAAAAAAAGGAATGCTTCTAGCAGGTAAACATATTTGTGGATTTCCTGTACAATACATACCGTGGTCAGTTCGGACAGTGAAGGAGCCGCCAGCTGATGACTCCCAAGCATACTGCTCATCATCATTATGCTTGGTAATGACAACCACTTTCTCAGCCACTAGATAGGCAGAATAGAAACCCACACCAAACTGTCCGATCATGGAAATGTCTGCACCAGCCTGTGAAAGTAGAGAAAGATTGACAGATCAGTGAAGAAACAAGAGATGTCTACAGATGATTCACAGCAGCAAAGAACTGGGTCAAGCATGCAGAGAAAAACGCAAGTGCCAACAGGCAGCCAGCCCTACCCTCGGCTTTTCCTTGCTGCTAGGAAGGCGCGGAAGCACAGCTGGGCACACCAACAGCTACCACAGCCAAAAAGGCAGCATGGGTATGGTTTTATTCCAGTGCAAGCCTGTGGCCCAGGCCCTAGGAACCTCATGCAGCTAAAGACAACCCACCTGCAGGGCTTCCATGAAGGCTTTGGTTCCAGATTTGGCAATGGTGCCCAGGTTATTGATGAGGTCTGCTTTTGTCATCCCAATGCCAGTGTCCACCAAGGTGAGTGTGCGCTCCCGGGGGTTGGGCACTATGTCAATCTTGAGATCCTTACCACTGTCTAGCTTTGAGGGGTCAGTCAGGCTCTCATAGCGGATCTTATCCAATGCCTAGGGGAGAGAGTGATGTTCACCGCCGCCTTCCCCCTCAGCGCGCACACCTCCCTCCCGCTGCAGACACCCGCCTCTCCCTGGGCACCCCCACGGGACATCAGCCTCCCCCCCGCGCCGAGGAAGGGGTCCGTGCTCACGTCAGAGGCGTTGGAGATGAGCTCCCGCAGGAAGATCTCCTTGTTGGAGTAGAAGGTGTTGATGATGAGCGACATGAGCTGGGCGATCTCCGCCTGGAAGGCGAAGGTCTCCGCATCCTCCTCATCGCGCTGCACTTGCTCAGGCATCTGCAAGGCAAGCACAGCCCATTAGGACCGAGGAGAACCCTACCAGGCCCGGCCCGGCCCGGCCCGGCCCTGCTCCACAGACCGCACACGCCCCACCGTGTCAGGCGCCTCCGACCGCCGAAAGACAAGCTCCTTCCACCGGCCGCCTTTTCTAGGCACGGCCGAGACTCACCACACACTGTCTCCTTCCGCCTTAAAACGTCCCTGGTTCTGGCAGCTCACAGTAAGTGGCAATCAGCGTTGCCGTTTTAACGGCGGCGGCCATGGTGGAGGGGGGCCGCAGTCTTCAGCTTCATGCCGCTTCCGGCAGCGGAAGAATACCATCGCGGCGGGCAGAAGTAGCGATCTGCTTCCAGAGGCTTCTATAGGGTTCGTGGGTGATGCTGGAGGTAGCGGCTGGTTCTGGGCTCCCTACGGCCGCGGGCCCGGGAGGTTTCTGCTGTCCCAGCGGCATTCCCGAGGCTGAGAGCCGCGCAGCTTTGCCGGCCCGAGGTGGGGTGTAAGCAGACCCTGTGCATGAGGAGGGGGGCGAGATGGCGGGAAGGGCCGGGCTGTGGGGAGCACGTCAGGGTCTGAGAGTAAAGTGTATCCCATCGGAAAACAGCGTTTGGGTGCGCTATATTTTTAGCGTTCAAGGCTAAAATAAATCTCATGTTTTATTCTCCCTGTCGGGGCTGTGGGTGCGGGGAAGCCGGAGGTGGGATGAGAGGACCCTGTCCCGCAAGCCTTTGGCTGAGGAAGGGGTGGCTGTGGCTGCCGCGGGTTGGCAGCCGCTGGCAGGGGGTGCAGTTCACCCCCGGGAGCAGGAGGTGGCACTCCGGCTGTTCCCAGGCAAAAGGAAGGGTCTCGGGTGTGTGTGCTGCGGGTCAGTGCACCCCAAAATACGCAGGCCCATTCCCTTGTAAGTGCCGGTGTTCCCCTGGTGAGCCCTGAGGGCCGCAACCCGTCCCCATGCTGGCGCTCCACTGAGCCAGCCTGCTGGGGGAACACAAGCCGCTTCACCGGCCGGTGCTGGCTATGGCAGCGCCTGCTGCCTCCATCCCTTAACCCCTCCACAGCCCTCTGCCCTGTGGCGATGGAGACACACACATACCCAAAGGGTGTTTCAGTGTTTTTATAGAAAACGGCAACTGTACAGACGCGTTTACACCGACGAGGGATGGGGAAGGCAAGGGGAAGGTGAGGCCTCCCCCTGCAGCTCAAGCGGGCACAGGGAGGGCAGCCTGGGTGGGAAGGGAGCTGCTGCCTTTTCTCTTGCAGCCCGCAGTGAGACATCCCGTCACACAACCAGGAAGCAGAAACACAGTAACAATCACACACACACAAAGTAGGGGGACAAAGGCAAGGAGAGGGCGAGAAGGCGGGGTGTGGAGACCCCCTCCTCCCTCAGCCTAGCCACGGTGTGGGCTCTTTATGTGGGTAGGACACGTCTATGCTCAGGGATACTGCTGGGCAGTGGGATGTGTGCCGAGCAGACAGCAGGGATGGGAGGCTGGCTGGGGCTCTCCTGCCTGCTTGCAATCTCAGCAGCAGAAGTGGGATGTTCCCAGGCCCCTGCAAGGAGAGGAGAGCAAGTCCCTCGGTGCCTCAGGGACCAGGGCAAGTGAAGAATAACACTGGATACCAGCCCTCAACTCTGTCAAGAGGAGAAGGAGGCTGGGAATGGCTTTTGGCCTTGAGCTGGGGAAATTACACAGCGTGGGAGGCAACTGGACCTCTGCGAGATCCCGGGGGTCTTACACACACACAGCATGGGGAAGAAGGCACGGAGGCCTGAAGGCATCACACAGCCAAGCATGGCAGGAGCCAGGCCAGTCCTGCAGGAGTGGAACCGTCCCTGGGTCTAACATCTGCCGTGGCAGTGCGGTTTGGCAGGGGCAGGCGTGAGGGGTTATCTCCCCACGGCGCCAAGGTGTCCAGGGTCTTGGAGGAGGATGCAGAGCCGTCTCTCGGTGTCCCTACACCCTCCAGGTACCTCTGCTAGATAAGAATTCGGAACAGAAAGGAGACGGCAGCTCCTAGGGCCAAGCCCAGTGAGAGGAAAAAGGCCATGACAGCTCCAGCTGTCTCTGCTTCATGGGCGAGCACTTTCCTAGGTGGAAAAACAGGTTATCAGATGTGTTCTAGGGGATGTGTGTCCCGTGCCCTGCTAAGTTCAACGGAGAGCTGGGAGGAGGCCACAAAGGAGCCAGAAGCTGTGTTCCTCTGCGCAGAGGAATAGCAAGAGCAAATCCGCCTTGGCTCCAAGAGCCTGCCTCCAAAGCAGGGGCTCGTAAGAGCAGAGTGCATCAGGCAGGTTTCCCTCAAGCTTCCAGAGCCAGGGACACCCCTCCCTGGCTCCTGCCCCATGCACTGCAGCCTGCCTGGCTGAATCCCAGCAAGGCTGCTCACCCTGCTGTGGGTGCTGTGCTCCCCAGCATGGCAGGTGGGGGAAATGGGGAGCCCAAACAACAGCTTCCTCATCTCTAAGATGTGGAGGCACAAGGCAGATGGGACATTGGGGTTGTCTGCTCTGAGGTAGCGAGATTCCCTGAGGTTCCCCTCTGCGCCTGCACCCCCTTCTCAAGATGCGAGAGCTGAGCAGAGGCAGGCTCCAGCAGTCGTGCTGGGGCTGGCATCTGGGGTGGAAACAGCCCTTCCACATCCAAAGCTCTTACTCACTTAGGCCCAAAGCACATGCAGAGGCTGGCCAGGTAGCCGTTGGAGACAGAGAAGAAGATCATGAAGACGATGTACCAGGCATCGTGAGAGAACACAACAGGCAGGTAGTCACGGGGTTGCACGTTGCACAGCATGAAAAGAGGGATAAAGATGACACGGAGGGCCACCATCACTGGCAGGAGGCAGCTGTCCTTCCCGGGCTGAGTGAAAAATACAGGTCATTGAGCAGCTGAGAAGGGGATATTCTCTATCCCATGGGATGCTGGCTGGGGCTATACAGAGGCTGTCCCTACTACACTGGGGCTGTGGAGGAGCCACAGAGATGGCACAGCTGCTGACTTTCTCTGCTGCAACAAATCTGAGCATCACCACCTATGGTACAGAGGTCCTGCTAGGTCTGAAAGTCCTGTCCCAGCCAGCTTGGAGAGCAGGAGCATTAGAGCCAAAACACTGAGCTGGGCTTGTGGGCTATTGCTAAACTCTTGCTGGAAAAAACAGGCAGGCAGGAGAGCCTTGTTCATGCTCATACAATCTCCTCCTGCAGCCTCAAAGACAAGGCTGGCTGAGGTAAATCCCCTCTGGCACCTCAGGGCCTGCAAACTGGGCCTTAACCAGCTCCTCAGCCTCCTACACCATCCCCCAGCCAAGCGGGGTAAGATCCAGCAATCTGGGAAAGGGATTACGCTGGGGCTGTTCCGGACAGTGCTGGGAAAAGCACAGACTGAGTTATAGTCTTCCTGGATCCTAGCAGAGTCCCTGGACATGTGAGGCTGGGATGAAGAGGAGGCACCATCCCCGTGTTGTTCCTGCAGCTGGGACCGAGGCAGGCCCTGGTACCAGACATTCCTGGCTCCAGCTGGGGTCCCCTCAACGAGGTGCCAGGGTTGCAGGTGATGGGGCTCATTAGTCTGAGGTCAGGAGGGACCCCCAGTTGCCTCAGGAGCTCCTGAGCTGGCATAGCCAAGGGACACTGCGTGAACATGGGGAAAGCTGAGATTAGGACAGCTGCTGCATCCCTGGGCAAACTAGCAAGAGCAGCAGCCTCTTCTGCTTGAGGAGGAGAAAAGGAGCAAGTGGGGCCCCAACCAGGGAAATGAGGCCCAAACCACACACAGTCAGACTTTCCACACAGCCTTGTTTTGGAAATGTCTCCTGCTGGGTCATCCCACCGGAGAGGCTGTGGCCTGGACACCAGGCAATGCGGCTCATAGCCAAGGCCAAGGGCAGCCAGCAGTGGTGGCCAGGGCAGAAGCAGCTTCAGGCTGTGGGGAAGCCAGTCCTGGACAGACCCACAACATGTGTGGTGCTGAGGAGCTTCTCTAAACAAACAGCCTGAACAATACAGGGGGAAACAGCGCTTGGGGGGTGGGTGAGGGGGCAGGAAGAGACACAGACAGGACAGGCCCCTTCCCCAGCCACCCCCATTACAGCCCCCCTCACTCAGCCCCAGCAACTCTGTGCCAGGCAGGGGAGAAAGGAGCAAGGGGTCAGGTCAGGGGCAGCTCTGTGACCCACATGGCATGGCTCTGCCCTGCTCCCAGGACAAAGCTCTAAAGCAGCTGTGTCCTGTGCTGTCCAGAGGTTTTATTTTGGGCTGCCCTGTCTTTCACCCTCTTTCCCTGCCGCCATCCTGTCTCGCTGTGTACATAGCTGGAGTGAAGGTTTGTTTACAAAGAGGCTGAAGTGGAGGAGGCAGCTTCATCCAAGCCATGCCAAAGGAGGGGTGGGAGGACAGGACAACACTGTGGTTCTCGGCTCTGACCCATAAATCTCTGCTTAGCACTTAAAACGCAGGCAGGAGTTGCTCTGCACCTCCTTCCTGTTCCAAACCATGGATGGTAGCCTCAGTCAGAGCCATGGCTGGGGCTGGGTTCTGCCTGGGCACTGATCTGCCTTTGCTCCCTGCGCCATGCTTACCCATGTGAAGAGGGCAGTGAGACTCCGTCCTGTCCAGTCAAAGACATTAAAGAGCAGGAAACAGGAGACAGGGATGAAGTATAAACCTGCAGAAGAGGGGAGAAGGTAACTGATCAGCCCAGGGTGCCCCAAGGCCTTCTGCCACTAACATGGAGACTGTATTTAGGGTCTAGGTCATCCTGGTTTCCCATTAAGCACTGGAATGGTCTCCCAGCCAAACCACCATACACAGCTGTTTTTTCTTCCCCTCAGGCATACTCGATTGGGTTTGTGTGGCAAGATTTTAGTAGGAGAGCTACCGGGGTGGCTGCTGAGAGAAACTGCCAGAAGCTTCCCCTGTGCCCAGCAGAGCCAATGCCAGCCAGCTCCAAGACAGACCCACCACTGGCTGAGGCTGAGCTCATCAGCAACAGTGGTAGCAGCTCTGGGACAAGAGAGATGAAGCAGATTCCCCTGCAGCCCGTGTTGCAGACCATGGTGAGGCAGCTGTGCACCTCCAGCCCATGGAGGTCCATGGTGGAGCAGATCTCCACCTGCAGCCCAAGGAGGACCACACGCCACAGCAGAGGGTTGCCCAAAGGAGGCTGTGGCCTGGTGGGAAGCCCATGCTGCAGCAGGCTCCTGGCAGGACCT